AGCCTGGAGTCAATAGAGCGAGAAGAGGTAGTGGCAGCAGGAAACTCCCATTTTCCAGCCAACTGGTGTACAATGATGGGAACGCATCCCTGACCCTAGCACTTTCACTCAATCTCATAGAATCACAGAATGGTTTGTGTTGGAAGGGACCTTAAAAATCATCTGTTTGAAACTCCCCTGTCACAGGCAGGGGCACCTTCCACTAGACCAGACTGCTCAAAGTCCCATCCACCCTGGCCTTGAACACTGCCAGGGCTGGGGCATATCATACAAGGCTGCCTGCAGGAAAGCAGGCTGTTGAAGAGACCCTTACTAGAGTTCATTCTCTAGCAAAAGCAGCAGCATTTTTTCAAGAGTCCTGCTGATCAGAAGAGACTTCACCTGCCTTTAGTGGAAAAGGCCTTCCCCTTGGGCCAGGTGTCTGAGCCAACACTGAGGACTGCCTGCTCAGCTATGGCACCCACCTCCTCAAGGGCTCCTGCTGTGCAGATGTGGCTTAGGAAGCTCCCCCACCCAGGTTTGCCCCAGCCTTCATAACGTTTACTTTCTGGTTAAAGCACTCCCTCCTACTTTTTGTAGAAATACGCTTATAGGATTTTTGTTTGGTTTACTGGAGTTTGGAGTTTAAGTGATGCTAATACTCCATGCTGCAAGAGGTCAGCAGAAAAATATAACGGAGATAAAATTTCACGAAGAAGGGACTTGAACCAAGCGCACTGCTGTTCTCAGCCTTGTGAAGCTGCAGCCACAGGTTGGTTTAAAATGCATTAGAGGGAAAAAAAAAGAAATCTGAGACGTTTAGGTTGAGATCGTTCCTAGTTTAATGCTTAATACAATGTTTTATTCTTCTTGCCAGTTAGGGCTTTGTCATATACAGAGCAGATACTAGATCACTGACATCTGAAGTCTCATTACCAGCTCACAGCAGATTTGAGGCCCCAGGTAATTTTTTCATGGGATTTAAATAAAACTATTCTGTTTGAAAACAGTAATTATGTAACTTTGGTTTCACAAGCTTTGAAAATTGTATACAGAACTGTTTGTAGGGAATATATATTTACATAAATGTCAGTGGAGGTCACAGGGCTGAGAAGATTATTTACTTCTCTTAAACCCACTCAGAACCAAACACATCACCTTAGAAAACTGGGTAGTGTGGGGGTCCATCACCTTTGCATAAAGGATAAGACACCTTATTTACCTGTAACATAAAGGTATCAGCACAGGATTCTCACCCATAAGCTTCAACCAATTGAGCTACACTTGACAAAATACCTCCAACATTTCTTCTCTTTGAAGTATCACTAACAGGCTTCCCACAATGGCATCCAGCCCGCAGCTGCCCTGGGCAGTATTTTGCAGCACGTCAGCTCCCAAACAGGGTAGTACAACAGTTGCTGACATTAAATTGGAAAAGCAACCATATTCTTCCCCATCAATGCCCATTCTCCTCATTTCTATGCCCTTCCCAAAAAGATCCAAGCCTCCACCACCACCTCCCCCCTCAACCAAAACCCCAAAACACAAGCAAGCAAACAAACTTGACAATTTCTGTCTTAATTTAGGGATATCACTACCATGGCATTTTCATTCCTGGGGTATAAGCACTGGGAAAGACATCTCAAACCCCGGCATTAGGGAATGTACATATAAACAGGTACCAGACAAGACAGAAAGAAGCCAATGCTGAGTTTTCAGCTAATGCAGGATAAGAGAAACCCGAAATGACACCAAGCATCTGGAAGTTGTCTGCAGTATGCATGGAGAAATTGTTTTCAGAATTAAACAAAAATATTAATTAAAAGAATAAAATCACTCTAGAAACAATCAGAATAGACACAATAGATTTTGCATTACTGAAAGAACAGTCAGTTCATCCCCACACACAAATTCCAGATCATGTTTTGCAGCCATCTATTGAAAAGGCCATCTGGCTACACTGTGGGCCCTGAAGTAAACTGGATCCTGAAATCCAGTTCTTCTTCATACTGAAGACTTTTCATAGGCTGGCTTCAGGGGTAAATTTCAGGAAGTTTCTAACAAAAGGAAAGCAGAAGATCACCTATAGAGGGACTTTAATCACTTCTTTATGAATCTAATAGTTTGGGTAACTTTTGAGAGTGGGTCAGGTGGTAGATGGCACACTGAACTCAGCCCAAGGAGATAACAACTGCAAATCATGGTGAGTCATGTCATTTGAAAGCAAAGCTTCCTTTGAGGCACAGGAGAGCAATGTTTCCTGAGGGAGTAAGGGGGAAAACCATGAACTGGTAACATTGTACATCAACCACTGAAAGAACTTGCCAAAGTACCCTTAGACCTTGTGTGCAGGCGTCAAACAGCAGCCTCCCGTTCCAGTGTTCAAAGTGTCAATCTGAAATTCCTTAGTAAACCCTACAGCAATTATCTAGAATCCCGAGACACAACAACAAGCCCCTGTCTGGGAAACACCGAGAGCAAGAGCTAGGCCTGAAAATGCCGGGGTGAACTTAGCATTTCCGAAGGCTGTCGGAAGGGAGACTGCACTGGAGTAAGAGTTCAGTTAGAACACAACACTGGATCAAAGCCACTTGAGCCATGATTTTTAGAGTAAATAAAGCCAAAAGCTACTACAAACTGGCAAAGGCTGAAAGCTGAGGTGGACACCCCTCCCTTGCACCACACTGAGAGGGGCAGGCCTTGGCACACTCCATTAAGAACGAGAGGCAGCTGCTGATGCCCACTGAGGCATTCACCACCTTCTGCTTCTGCCAGTCTAAACCTAGAGCAGTGGATGACCTACTATTTAGGTGTCAAATTCTTTAAGCTGAAGGATTAAGAAGACAGTACTTTAAAAGCACTTTTTAAAGACAACATAAAAAAGAAATAATAAAATCATAAAGGCCTTTTGTGAACAATGCAAGAACACAAAAAAAACAAAGAAGTATTTTAATCAAGATTTTTATGCATTGAACATGCCAAAATTATTTCAGACTGAGAATCATGTCCCTAGCTGGACTTACTGCACCAGAAAAGCGGTCAAAGCCCAGCCTGTGCTTAGAAGAAACCTCCACAAAAGCAAACAGGACTGGGAACATTCCATAGTGTCTTAAACCAGAACCCCCCTGTTCTATAATGCTATATTCAAGTGTATATTTAATAAAGTGTGTGATAAAGATAAAATAATGAAACTATAGTCTTGAGTGAAGATCTTTCCAGGACATGATTTGCTTTTCCTTTGACACATTTCAAACGACACACCAGGAAATGGAGCACTGAAAGTCAGCTCCCTCCAACCCCACCTAAAGGTATTTTGTACTGTCAGTCAAAACAGGGTTTTTACAAAAAAGCTTTCTAAGAGCAAATTTCACAAAGCTTTAAATTTCTCTCTGGATGGGTTTCTGAACTGTCATTGCTGGTTATTATTAGTAGGCACAGAAATTCCCATTTTAATTAGAAACTTTATTCTGAAATACATTACACAGTTTACATGTGAAGTGCTTTCACTGTAAGATATTTCGTAACATTGTGCTGAGCAAAACGGCTGACCAATACCCTTGAAGCTCTTCCAGTTTTGTTTTTATTAAAACTATCTTACAGAACTGAGATGCAACTCAGGCATTTGTATTCAGGAGCTAATTACTATGTTTACCTTAGGAAGAAATTATATACTTCACTATTCCAATTAACTATGCATTTCAAGAATGGCATTAAGCATTTGGCATAAGACTAAAGGAAACCTGAGTCCTAATTAAACTTGTATTCACCAAAGATTAAAAAAAAAGAAACATCTTCATGATAAAACTACTTTTTTTTAATAAGGCACAGTCAGACAAGTATTTATAAAGACTGGCTACGAATTCAGTTTTACCAGCAGAGCCTTCCTGCTGGTCTGTTGGAAGTAATCTGAAAGTTCTTTTACCTGTCTGCTGCTGAGACTTTCCAAGAACAAGGCCAAGCAATAAGGCAACTGAAACAACAAACATGTAAAGGAGTTTGGCATTTGGAATGCATTCTGAACATCTGCAAAGTAGTTCATTTTATAAATGGAGCATTCACCTCCTACTACTAAAATGGTGGCCAACTATGATAAGGAAGATAGAAGTGGTGTAAGAAGTGCCTGTTTGAAAAAGGGTATTTTGATAAGATTACAAAATGTCTAGTATGCTTTCAGGTGAAGATTTTGTATGCAGCAATTCACAGCTTTCAAAAATAATCTAAATTGAATTCCAAAATTCCCCTCTGCCACTCAGAAAAGCTGAATGTACCAAGAGGTTTGCTTGACAGCAGGTGAAATACCAAGGAATGAAATCTCCATTTAGACAATGAGCCAGAACCGTCTTCCTACTTTGCATTTATCAGAACGAAAGGAAATCTTCAGGAATGCTAACTCAAATAATCACACCATTATTTTGGCTGGAAAAAAATTCAGGAACTCTTAAGATGTGATGATATTTGAAGAACATGAAGCAATTCTACCTACAGTGAAAGAATAAAAACTAAAAAAATAAATAAGAGGCCTTACCTTCCCCTCCCAATTAAATCTCTGAAGAATTAACTGCTTGAGCTTAGCAGTGTATGGCTTTTGTGGCCTATGAATGCTTGATAGATACTTTTCAGTATTATCTTTTTCAAGCTACTGTTTGTCATTTCAAATAAAAATACTGCATCTATTTCACTTTAATAATCAAACAGCATAAAATCATTAAAAGTGTATTTTTGATACAAATTTGTATCACATACTAAAAGATACTATTTTATAGATAGCTGTAAACCAAAAAGAATCGGGATATACAAAAGGTTTTTTAAGTTCTTTTGCACAGCTGAACTCATAGTGCACTAAGTTTAAGATAAAAAAAAAAAACTCTAAATGAAGCAGTCACAACAACTGTTGAGGATAAAATACATTCTGAAGTATTTTACAGAATGGCTGAATTATCAAGCATATGAACTGAAGATAAAGAATGTTAATAACAAGCAGCCACATACAGAACACAAAGCAATAAGTTTAAATCAGACTATTTTGGTTTGTGTAGCCCTTTATTAGCAACTAAAATAGAAGATATCTGTTGTACATCACGGGTAGTAACTGACTATACTGGAGTTTTATTATATTCTAATACAGGATCATTTATAAATGCATTGGTTTTTTTTTTTCCTTTCATTCAAGAGCTTCCACCCTTTTTCTGTTTACAACTTGCAAAACTATTCTGAAAGCTGAGTATATGTGCACAGGTCTGCAAAGAGTGCAAATTTAGGATATGGTAAATGCTTTACATGTTTTGTAAGGACTGTCTGCCACCATGCCTTCATAGCCATTGTCTTTCCCCCCCCAGAAAAATAAAAAATAAAAATCACAAAATGTTTTGATACCAGCCTTCCTTCCACTGTCCTAAACAAGAAAGCATTTTTAAATGACTTGAAACTAAGGAAGGACTACACCTACTAGAAAAGAAGAGTTCTATTAGTTTGAGGTTTCAGTATACCCAAAGACCAGGGACTGTATCTTTGTAAGGGCTAGGCTGGGACCCCATATATAGGGTGTGTGCAGGTGCCATCCCTGAGCATTCAGCGGTTCAGTGGACCATAAGTGCTCCAGCTGCATAACTCACTGAGCTGTCTTGCCAGTTTCGACACTGGCTTGACTGAGCATAATTCAAAAATGAAAAGCTCATGTTCATCCCATTCTTCTGGAGCTCGTTGATAGCCTGAAGAGAAAAAATGTTTAAAAAAAGGTATCAGTGAAATTATGACATTTTCTAGCTCTCAGTCCTGTCTTTACCCCTCCCTCCATGGGTCCTTGCACCACCTCTCATAATAATATAAGCATCTCTGAGTAATTTGTGGACCTAACTCATTTCAATGCCATTTCATTCACTAACACTGCCCCTGCTGCGCTATGGACATCCATGCAGTCCTACAAAGCAATACTAAAAACACTTTCAAAATAGATCCTTTAGAAACAATGCTTTCAGTTCCATGGGGAATTCATACAGAAATGCAGATGTTACAGTGAAAAACCCAACACTATTAACACTTTTAAAATCATATTTCTTCCATTAAGGAAAAAGAACGTACCAAGATAATTTAGTAAAGTGCGACAACTGGCAAAAGTGAATCAATAGAATTTAGCTCAGATTCACTGCAAAACTAATCATTATCTGAGGTTAAGAGCTGGATATTTTTGCAGAGTTGTCATAGTACTGAATTTTGCTACATGCATCCCTAATATTAACATTGGTCATAGAAACTTTTATAGACTTCACTTTAAAAGGACCCTCTATATGTTCTTCATATGGATTACATTTCCAGTGAGCTAAATTTTCCCTTTTTAAAAGGTTAACAAGCTATCTGTTTCAGATTTGAATTACAGTAATAATAGAGCAAGATTCACTCAAGCAGTATGACAAATCTGCAGCATTCCAGCAATGCTGTAAAGATAACTAAGGTAAGCCAGGTTTATGCCTGCACTGGATCACCAAAGCAGAATACATAAACTAGAAAATACCAGTTAATCTGAATTTTAATTGCTGTCAATTTATGAGTTAACAGTGCACTGCACTAATACTTACAGAAGCAATCTCTCATCTTATTTGCAAAACCCAAAAACTCTGCCAGACATCATAAGGCACTCACAATAGCTAGCTAATAGCAATACAGAAAAGATATATACAGGTTTGTAAGTACTGATTCAATAGATTAAGTATGCACTTCTTCAGGGAGATGGATTTATTCATTTATTTAGGGCCAGGAGAAAGCAAATGATTGCATTTCATTGAAATTCAAAAGGAGTATGGTATCTCATCTCCCTTAGAGAACTGAAAACCCTCAGCCCTTGGAAGAGCTTACAGTTGTCTATAAGCAAGACATGGAAATTGGAGACCAAACTGAGAACACTTGGAAAAATGAATTCAAAACTTGCCATTTTAGAACTAAGGAATACTCCAGCAATGTTGTGTTTAAAATATATGTAAGCATCTTGCTAAAAGTTAGATTTTTCAACAAATCAAGCATTACTTACATTTAATAATACGCCAATAGGATGTCTTCCACATATTGTATTATGGTATTTCTTCAAGTAATTGCTAAAAGATACAGGATCTAGCTGCTCTATAATGCTCATACCCTGAAAAAGAACCAATTGCAGTGATTACTTCACGCATTCATAAGCAGGTGTTTATACATCACCTATTTATGACAACACAGAATACTTCAAGAGGAAAAACCCCTCTACTTTGTATCAAGGATATCAAGGCAATAGCTTGTAGTCATCTTGTTGCTATTCCTTGCCAAACTGAAAGTGCAGGAGCTCTTCCAAAGCTGTCAATGAGCTATGTATCTGTGAAGCTATCTCAGCAGATACCAGTGAAGCTCATGTTAAAAAATCTCTTCTTGCAGACTAGCTGATCCCCACCTCCAGTGGTGCCCTACTTCCATAGGATTTTGTATAGCAGTAAGCAGACAAAGTGACGAAAAGGGCAAAATACAAATATTTTTTGCTTCTATCTCCTCTCCCCTTAACAGAAGTCACGGCTGAGCATCTGCCTAGGACTTCTGGATGTCCAAAAACCCTAGGCAAATCATCAATACACACAAATATGCAATTCAAGCATGTAGCAAATGTAATGTATCCTGGACACATCACACATGCAAGGCAGTTGATCTGGGCACAGGCTAGCCATCTGCTCAGTGCATAAAAAGCAAATCCAGAACATCTCTGAAGCACTATAAAGTTGGTGCATGACTTAAGAGCCAGAAGATGATACTTCCACTTTACATAAGGCAGTCACATATATACATCTTTTCTCCATCCACACTCCATGAGACCCAGGATCCCACAGAGTCATACTATGAAAACTAGCATATGCATGGAAACAAACCCTTCCCCATATACAAACATTTGAGGTCCTAAAAGCAAAAAGAATCCTACAACTCCAGATACAGCCTACTCATACCCCATCCCACAGAGCAGATCAAATACAATGAAAGTAATGTAAAACAAGTCTAAATCAATTATTGTCTGGGTTTTATCATGGCTTTGCTATTTTGCCTGTATTAGTAGACTCTATCCTCCTGTGCATTTCCTTCCTCTGAAAAGGATTAACTCCCTTCACCAGGTAAATGAGCTCCAGAAACTAATTCAGTAAGACATACAGCTGTGCTGCTTAGATGGAGATGATGAAACAGGAAGGTTTTCCTCAGAGGTTAGAAAAAAACCCATATACTTCGCATAGGAACAACAGGAGGTTGATATCAGAAAGGGAGAGAATTTCTCTTAAGGTTTCTGCTATTTTCCCAGCCCCTTCCCCTGCTTTTGGTAAGTGTGGGTGATGCAAGGAGAAATCACGACGCAGGAAGCAGTCAGTCTGTCTGAAGTCTGCACCTCAAGAGTGGAATATGGTAACTGCATTGCAAGGGTGCTGGCTGATCTGGCAGATATACCAATTATTCAGACTGGATCCCAGTCTGCAAGTGAGGAGCTGGAGATTCCCAGGAGACTCAGGGAGGATTAGCAAACAGGAACCATAACCAGCACCTTTGTGTACTTTTAATTAAAAACAGACATAAAATGAATTCAGAAAGGGATAAATTCTATGGAAAATAAAACTAAACTATGCTATCAACTGCTGGTAAGGGCTGTTCTTCCAGAGTCATGGAGAGGGTGTTTGGACCCCTGGCCAGTAATTACAGCTGTTACTCCAGATCTACAGAACTTAAATGAGTGCCAAAAAACTCATAAAGGCAGCTATTCTCTAACTAGCAGTGATTACATAGTTACCATTGCATTTCTAAAGTTTAAGCTGCATGTCTTTGAACCATCCGTTTGCTTGTAAAATGTGTATGTCAATACATAGCAGCAGAAAGCAGAACCAAACTTAATAAAACACTCAAGTGAAACTAAACGTTGAAGAGCTCATAAGAATACGTTTTATCCATTGTAAACCTTTCCACAACTTTAAAAAAAAAAAAAAAATAAAAATGGTTGCTCAATTGAGAGACTCATTTTGTAGCTGTAAGTCACTGGAACATACTGGGCAGAGGCATTTGAGCATGTGTCTTGAATGGACATGGATTTATCAGAATGCCTAGTAAGCTTATTTCAATGAACAGTTCAGCACTGCAAAACATTTAGAGCTGTGCAGTTCATCCCAGAAAATGCTAACAGAGCTCTGTACATCACAGATTGGAGAAAACCCATAGGAAATGCGTATTAATACATATCCTTATAAGCATTCAGCTGTACTAAACTTTTTAATCTTCTGGATTTAAAAATCATCATGGCAGAGGAGAAAGGCTACCAAGCTTGTTTCTCAGTGCAAATGGTTTTGAGGAACAATGGAAACAGTTTTGTCAGATTGTTCCAAACCATGCCTTGCTGAGTTAATTTGAATACTGAAAATTATGAGCTTCATACTTCTGATTGTTAGAGAAATAAAACACAGTTAAAATACACAACAAAATCCACATGATAAAAATGCATCACACAGTTCTGCAGTTTATCACATGGTTATTATGGCACCACATAGAAATTGCATATCTCAGTTAACCAGACACTGCAAATGGAATCTGCAATATCTTAGCAAGTGTCCTTAATATGATTAAAAGCAGTTAAATATAATCCCTTATAGGATCAAGCTTCTATAAGTATACCGAAAAACCCAGAACCAAAACGAACTCAACCAACCCACAGGCTTATTTTATGCTATGCTCCAATAATCCTTTGGCTGGTCAAGCTCAAGTTTACAACCAGTTACTTCTTCACACTTATGCATTATGCTCAAGCTAAGAAGCCTTCCCAGGCTGGGGCACTGTGAAAGGTGCTGGCACATCACAGCAGCACTACAGAAGCCGAGAACTCAGCAGTTCATTAGAGCCACCTGAGAAGTCACCCATGCTATGCATGGCTCCTGCACAACAACTTCTGACTGTTCTCTTCAGCACCTGCATTATCCTACGCCTTCAACATCCAGGGTAACAGCATCCTCCTATTGACCCAAGAGAAACATAAGGTTTCACAAGTAGATATAAAATGAGCAACCTGGCAGTGAAGACTGAAGCGAGCAGTCTGCATTTTCTGGCTCGCCTTAATAAAAAAATGATTACTCTTCAACGACAGAGGGCTGGAATTAGATGTTTTTAAGGTCCCTTCCAACCTAAATCATTCTGTGGTTCTCTGACATCTTACAGAATACTTCCCCACTTTTATTTAAAAATATATATATATATATCAGGTTATGATACACAAACAAATTGCTGCACATCAGCTGCTCAATTATAACTCTTCATTTGAGGATTGTCCCTTAATGCACCCCTATTATTACTCCTTTCATCACCGTCACTTTACAAGGTGTACTGTGGTACCCCCAGAGTAACAGCAGTCACATTAAGAGTTACCATGGAGAAACCAACATCTGCCCAGCAATGTTTACTACTCTGTATTTTTTATGCTGGAGTCTAAGGGTGCTAACTTAACATTACAGCAAATAAAATTTCTCAGAGCAGCTACCAGGTTAGTAAATCTTCAATGCCCAAAGCATTTAGCACTGTTTATGCACTAGCCAGGAAAATCACCATGCATCCATACTTAAGGTCCAGTCTAAATGAGGAAGAGACCACAAGGGTATTTCTAAGGAAAAGTAATTTAATCTTTAACCCAAAATACCTTCCCGCTCACAAAGTGCTCAGCTAACTGCTTCACTAGTTCAGTCCAGTAAAATTATCGAGCCAGTAATAGGAAAACCCACTCTGTAGAGTTTGAATACAGAGTAATGTGTTCATATATGGCATGAAATAGACAAAGTAATAACAGTATATTGCCATGCAGCATGTTTAGTTTTCCAGTTAAACTTAAGATTGAAGCATTATTTTCATAGGTATTAAACAGTAGACATGATTTTCAACATTTTCACTAATTAAATGTGAAAGTCCAGTCTTCCTACAAGCTTTCACCACAGAAATTAACAAGGGGAAACTAATGTACGCTAATGCACCTTAATCTGCTCTTGCAAAAACACTCAGCTTCAAATTCTGGGACTTTGTAGAAACACACTTGTCTTTATAGAGAAACCTCTAAACCTACAACAAGAATTGGTATAAACAGAATTAAGGCAAATTTAATGTTTAAATTTACTGTTTCCATTCCAGCGATGAATAGTGGAAAAACAAAGAGGTTAATACAGAAAGCAAAAAACTCCAGGGATCTCCAGCAGACAAGATTTATTCTTTCAAGACAAGGAAAAAGTTAACGTGCCCCAAATAACAACAGTTCTTTCTTGTAACAGATTTTACAGAAGTTACATGAATGATCCGAACAATTTTAAAATAAATTTAAAGGTTACGTATTTCCAGAAGAATTACTTCTATTCTGTGCCATAAGTATAGTCTTTAACATTAACACAGTTTTTTCTCATTTACAAAGAAATCCTTGGCTGCTGTGGCTGCAAAGAAAATGCCATGTAACTGGCATCATGGTCCTTATGTATTTAGCATTCCTTTAGCTGTTTGCCAAACCCAGAAGGAAGTATGGTCTACTGCTTTACCCCACCACCTACTACAGAGTAAGGGGCAGGGGGAAAGAATACTCCTGAGAAAACAATGACTTTTGTTTTCCTCACCAGCACAATACTGTACAGCATTTCCTCCTCAAAATAGATGTCGCTGAAACTATTAGCATAATCACAATGCTGTTTTGATAAGCAGGTATCACAGCTGTTAAGCCTGAACTACCACAATACTCCATTCATAATTCTTATTGCTTCCCAAAAACATAGGAGGGTATTTGGACAGGAATTACATTACACTAGGGCATTTTAGGTAGGCAAACATGCATTTATTCTCATAAATTATGCTCACTAGATTATACCCACAATATACTGTGCTCAGTCAATAAAAATGGAGGACACTAGCTAAAAACAACAGCTAAATTCTTACTATGGTAAACATAGGAAAAGCATTCAATAAAATAGCTAATCTATGAGATTTTGTTAGAGAAATTTCTAAAGTGTTCAAAGAAACGTAAGGTACAGGAGAAATTTGTTAGTTAGTTCCACCAAATCTGAAAACTTACCATTTTATCTAGGTGCTCAATGGATCTATAAATTTCTCCTTGGGATTCATCATAGTAACTGTAACGGAACCTCTGACCTTGAAACAAAAACCATGTATAAAATAAAAAAGGGAAAAATCGTAGCTAAAACACTCCCTAGTACTTACTAAATAATTTCAATTATAATATTTTTAAAGTAGTAATCTTCATTATTTTATACTTTTTAGCTCCACTGAGGAAATTCTAGGGCAATCATCAAAGTAGCAGCCCAGAAATGAAGAAAAAAAATACATGATGGGCAGCTGTATTCCTAAAGAAAAACCTATGTAGAACCGACACTGCAGTAGCACTTATTAGTTGCCTGTTATTGCCTTGGAATCCAATTCTACAAATTAAAAAGTAGAACAACATTTGTTTCACTATCCCTCTTGACAGTCAACCCTGGAGCCGGACTACTTCTCTTGGACAATAATATCCACAGTAAACTAAAAGAAGTTTGTGATAATTTAATGAACAGCTCTAAATGATTCATTATCTATAACAGAACCCATGTCATTCTTATATACCTCCACCTATGTCACAATTCAAAGATGATTAAAATATGCACTTAAATATACAAGTTGACCAAAGATGACAATGAAAAAAGGAAAGAAGGTCTGTTGTGTAACACAAAACGTATCATTCTGAAGCAGTCTCTTTTCCAGCTATTATTACACTTGAAAGAAAAATAAAGTGTTAAAGCAGGACAGAAGTCAAAGCTTCTGGAATCTTTATAGTTCTGCCACCAAGATGAACTGGAATAGCTCTGATCAATTGGCATAAATACTCCATCTGCTACCTTACCCAGCAGTAAAACATACAAAGCTTACTTCCATCAGAGGGATGTTGTCATGTCCAGTGAATTTTTAGCTAATTAGTTTTGCAAGTTGCTTTGAAGTGCTTAGAAGAGTAAAAAGAGCAAGAAACTTCAGACAATTATTTTATTGCAACAATAAAGAGAGGCATATAAACCCATACATCTTCACCATTTATTGCCTCCACTATACTGAAAACACATTACCACATTAATATTTTTCATCTATTGTTCTAGATTAAAAGAAGAAAACCCCATTTTACTTTACAGAAGGCACTTAAGTTTCAAAGATGCATTTACCAGAAGTTAAAACGTTCAATGTTTAATAAAACACATTATCTGAAAATCACTATGGATATTCATCTTATAATGAAGAGATGTGAAACTTACCCCAATGGCAAAAGTCAGAAGAAACCACAAAGAGGTTACTAGGATCAGCTAGGTATTTACTGAAGAGTTTTCCAAATTCCTGCTCTTTTGACTCACTCAGTGCTCCGACCAACACAGGAATAATAGTAAACTCATCCTTATGGCTTATAAGCAAAAGAAAAGAGGTTGTAATTCAAGTAACATCTGAAGTTCTTACAGGGCTCGCTAACTGAAACTGCAGAATGTTTTAAAAGGGCACTACTGAGTTGAAGATGCAGTTAATTTAATAAGGTCATACTAGAAAGTTGTTTCAGAACCTGAAAGTACTTCAGTTTCAGAAAACACCCACCGCCCCCCCAACAGTATTTGTCTTTGCTGCAATGTAAAAACACCAGGCAAACAGAAAGACAAGACACAAGGAAACCAGCAATTACAGCAAGAATAAAATTCTTCCTGTATAGATGCTGCACAACTGTTGGGTAATTTTTCAACATATATGAAAATGCTCAAGACAGAACCCAGATTGTATATTGATATTCCAAAAACATTTACAAATACTATAGAATTAAAAAAGCATGTGTGTGGTAAATAACCACCACAAATTGACAAATATTATGGCCTTTAAAATTATTCAAAGTACTTATCTGAAATAGCAAACATAGACAGAACCCTAATTTAAAAGTCAGTATTAAATATTAATGTTCTGAACAGATTTAAAACTCCACAGAAAACACCTATTAGTGTTTGAACTTTTCAGAGATGCATTGCGAAAGAAAAAAAAAAAACCCAAACAAACCAACCAACAAAATACCCCCCCCAATAAAACAAAAAAAAACAACTATTGAGAAAGACTCATGAAGGCATATCTGATTTTAACTATATTAAGTCAATATAACCATACAACCTTGCTTATAAGGGGTGTTAAAATTTCATCATGCAGGTGTTTGCTCCCCTCAGTTTCTACTACAGCATCTAATCCTAGTCTCTGTCCTGATCCTCCTCAAAAGTTTTATTGGTGGGTGTGGAGCATATTATATACCATAAAGGGTAGTTCAAACATTTGATGTACATAATGCTCATTCTTATAGAAGTAGTAGTTAGCCCTAGTACCTTTCCATGGCTTTAGCAGTGTAAGGCAAATGCATTTCAATACTGTGTTCATCTTCATCTGTCTGTAGGGACATACGCTCAAACATTCCAGTCTTCCACAATTCTCCATAAACTGAAATGAATTAAAGATTATTTTTTACTACTTAAAAAAAAACAGCCAAACAACAAAACACTGTAAAGCAAGCTACAGTGCATCTTCACCTGAACAAGCCTGATATAAAAAGTTATTTGACTATAAGGGCTGTCATCATAAACCACTTATTTTTAAAATTAGGATTAAAATTATGTTCAACTCAAACTGATAAATTGATTCATTTTACAAAATAAGTGTGTTACCATGTTGAAAAAAGATTTTCAGTCATGGTACAAAATCTAAGTAACACAAAAAAACACACTTGAAAATATGCATGCCGTTTTCCAGTCACTGACTACACCATCATATGTTTAAATACATACATACATTAAAAAAAATAATAAACTGCTGATCAGCTGAGCAAGTCCTGGATGTATTACGATTTAATACAATTCATTATTAATTGAATCATTAAATCTAGAGACAGAAAAAAATTAAGTACGCCACACTTATAAGTTATCTTTTCTACTCCCAAGTGTGCCTGGTGGTATGCAGTCATCTCTACATTCTGAAAACTCTCCACGAGACAAGGAATTTGATGTGGAACTGTTCCTCCTTCTCCACTCCATAAAGGAGTTCTACAGAAACCAAAACACTTGTTACCCAAGGAAATTTCTGCAAGTGCTATGAAGAAAGCCTGAACTAGCTTGCTTCATCATAATCATGATGAAATAGCAACACATGTGCGCTACTCAGTCCTTCTGAAAAAGATACTGTATTATTTAGGTATACCTCAAAATGTGTGAAAGGCAAAACATGACATTTCTCTTCCTTGCACCTTTATGCTTAGTCTAAAAGACTAGTATTTCATGGGCTAACTAACAGGTTTTAAGTTCTGTAGGTTCTCTGCCAGTTAAAGTCACATGCTATAATGCAACGAATAAAAGCAGCTTTTTGTTCCTCTGTTACTCCTCTATCAGAAATAAACTCAAACCAACTATAGCAGTATCTTTCTTTGCAGACAGAATCCCTCATGGAACAATTAAGCAGGTGTGTAGCGGGCTATTATTCAAATGTGACATGTTTTATTTTCAAGATCCCCTTTAAAGGCCACTTGTCAAGAGGCTCAATTCAAAATGGAAAAGATAAGCAAAGACTGAGAATTCTTTACTTTCAGGAGCAAGAGACACATTAAGGTTGTAATACAGCAGTCCCTGCAACCACCAGAATCTGTCAGAAGTTAGCTTTCATTGCAGTAAAACAGGTTTGTACTTGTATACATATAAAAGCAATCAACTTCCCTGCAACAAGAGTCCTCAGCACTGCAGTACCAGTTAATACTCAAGCTACAGCAATCTTCAAGATGCAAGCTTTATCATGCACTTACTCTTTTGGTCAATTCGGAGATCATACAGAGGTGTTCTATAAATGTCCACACTGGAAAGTGCGCATCGGGAAAGGGGCACGTGGTGGGAAGGCCCAAGAATGAAAATTTTTCGGCTACAACAGTTAACACAAAAGCCCACAGTTCAGACAGCTGCAATTGTACAGACGTTTGGTTTAGAGTAACAAGTTCAATAAAAATGTACAAAGCGATACTTTCTGGTGGTTACCTGTAGAGTTTTACTCTGCTGTGTGTAAAGACCACAGATCAGCCCATGGTCTTGCTTGATATCTCAGAAACGATCATGGGATCTGTTCAGTAATGCTTCGATAGCCTTAAACCTCTTAAGCAGGTTGTATATCAGAGGGCACGCATCAGCTAGATAATCTGTTCAACTGGACTCATTTGGAGGCTGAATGATGCATTATAGTCCCTTAGAAGATTTTTGGATTCTCTCCTTGGAATAACACAACCTTCAGTTACATAACACCTTCAACAATTACAGATACGTACCCTCAAATGAGGATTACGGATTTAGCACCTATTCAGAGCTTTTTGCTTATTTACTTGATTAACTTTACTTCAGATTTAACTACATTCAAATTTAAGTCATTCCCAAATGCTATTTTTATCCAGCTGTTGCATCAACAACAGGGACTTGGACCTGCACATTCGTAGCTTTAGCCGACACTGCAAGCTTTCACACGTCACCATGATGTTATTTCATCAACTCCTCAGTTCATGGCTCTTGATTAGATGTTAAGGGTCTCCTGCCACAGGACTTAAAGAAAAAACAGAACACAACCTATAGGAAATTCAGCTTTTCAGATTCAGGATCATATTCTGTTCCTGGCACTGAACTAAAGGGGTGGGAGACAGGTAAAGTTTTCCCCCCAACTTTACATGTGGAGAGCTGTAGCAAGCTATAGTAAAATACTAAAACTTTTTACAGGGCTCATAAAAACAAAATATCCAAACACGCAATAGTTCAGCTGAAAGATGAATTGTAAACATCCCTTGTGGTGAAACAGCAAATGATCCAGAAAGCTCAATCAACTCCACGTCAGTGAACCTGGGGAATGCAACTTGCTCTAGATATTTTAGAGAAGCTAGATATCTGTCACACCATAAAGTTACTTTCACTCTGATTACAACAGTTTAGCAAGAATCAAAACCATTTCCTTCATTACAACGCTATCACATAAGCAACTGACAGACATAGCCAGTTTTTATATTAACATTTCAAAATACATACTTTAAGTAAATACTAACGATGTTTTAAACTTTTGTCCTTTAAAAAACTGTTGCACTCAGCAGAACACATAAAAATTATATTATTTTAACACAGAACAACTGGATTCATATTTTCAGAGACAGGCACAGACTACAGTACTGTGTTGGGCTTTTTCTCCTCTTTTAAACAGCTGTGCTGTTAGAAACGTAAGTCCACTTAAAATCATTACAACTAATTTTCACTGCCTTCAAATATTATATATACACACTGGTCACTTTCTCCACAGCAGAAGAGAATCCCGGTAGCATTCAGCCTATAATCCTGCACTGAAGAACCAATGCAGGCTCATAATCAAGATTTTTAATATACTTAAACAAAACCTCCAACAAAAAACAACAAAAAGAAGAACACGAAGAAAAGGAAAAGAAACAAAGACACCCTGTGACCACTTAAACAAAACAAAACATCTTGGGCTTTTATAAAAGCATTAGAACATCGAACAATAAAGTAAATTGAAGGTTATTACCTGCAAAAAGAACAGGGTTAACCCCCTCCCTTCTAAAAAGTTAGCAACCAAAACCTCAATAATTTTTTAAGAGTGCTTTACATGTTCAATTTCAACAATAATGCATTATTTTTTTCTATTGTAACATCCAAACAATTTGAACATTTATGATGTCACAACAGAAGGGATGGATAAAAGACTAAAAAGGGTATAAAACTAAAATCCGTAAAATTTGTGTTGTAAGAATGTAAAAAGCACATTCAGTTTCTCAAGAGAATTGCAATGGCATTGTCTTACACTTTGTATAGAAAAACTTCAATACTTACGTAATATTAGGATCCACTTGTTTGTAAGCATGGGCAGCACAAGATCCACAATAAGTATACCCTGCATGGCTACAAATCAAGGTGTACAAAATGTTAATATGTTGAATACTGTTTAACATCTTCATATGTTGATATTGCTATTAAATTATAATATCATAAATATTATTTGTCCCCAAGGAACTAGAAAAAGCAAGAGTGATCCAAAAGTCAACTCCTGAAAGAGATGGAGAGCACTGTTTCAATACTGAATGTACAAGAGGTATGTGCTGAAGAACATCTACTTGAAAGTAAGTCTCCAGATCAAAGCACCTTTTGTTCCTTGTAAAAGATACTGCTAGGCAGATTACACAACTGCGTATTATCAAAAGCTCATGATAATGTTAAGAGTACAGCCAGGGGACACGGAAATAGCAAGCTGCTGGAGAAAGCTCTTCTAACCACACATCAGTAACTGAGTATAATGACAGTACAGGGGTCTGGAAAAGAGAACTACCTTACAGCAGATAAACAGAATAAAAATGCTCTCAGCAATAGAATGAATGGACACAAGGCAAAGAGTGGAATGCAGCAAGATAGCTTTTACCACAGAGAATGCAATACATGCTGCATCATTTCCTATCACTCTGGCCTGGAGCCTTTCTCAACTTGTGCTCCTGTGTGCACTACAAAAACACTCATAATTATTCTGACTGCTTGCTTCAACTATCACATCTAAATCTTAAGACCCATTCCCTTCAAGACTGTTAAAACCAGGTGAAGATTCTGTTTACAATGCTAAAAGCATTCAGTCCAGACAGTGTTGATTCCCCAGTGTCCCAGGCCAAGTGAACAACACACAGTCAGCAGCATGGTTCCAACAGAACGCCATGCTCACATTGCACAGCATTTGGGCCACATCACCTCTGGAGCACTTGTGCCTCTAGCTAGATAGTTATTGTTTGAGTCAAGTATGTGCAACAACACAACTACAGTTTTTCACAATAATACTTACACAATAATAGTGAGATATTATACAATAATAAAAATATTATTACTGCATTTATACTTACTTTTTATTGTATTGTATTTATATTACTCTCAAATAATACTGAGAATTATACAATAATTTTACACAATAATACTGAGAATTATACATGCTGCAAGTCCAGGGACATACAGGCTGTTGAAGATACAAGCCCCCCACCACTGGAGGATTTTATTTTTACTTTTATGTATGTATGCTCACATGCATGTATATTCATCCACAGAGCGATACCTGGAACTAATTATCCTCAAAATCACCCTGGGTTTGTTTTCTGTTTTGTTTTTTTTTGGTTTTGGTTTTTTTTACATCAGTGTCACTTTCCTCACTCATTCTAAAGCACTCAGAAAGGCACTAACACAGGTTAAATAGGACACTGAGATTTGTGAGCTGGCAAGGTATGTTATCTGACAATGTCAGAAGAGCCCCTGAAAGGTCTCCTCTGCTTCAGGTTTCTTCAGTCTTTCACAAAAATATTAGCCATATCGCACTTTACAGGTGGGAAAACAAAGGCATGGTTAATGGAATAATTTTGTGAGACCACTGGAAGACCTCCAGCAATTCTGGAAAAAGAACCCGGGTTACCTAATCTGCAGCTAAAAGGACTCTCTCCTGACATTTCTGCAAGAAAGACTATGGCAGATTTGGAGCAATTTCTTCTGCACATTCAATGCTATTATGGAATACTCCAAACAGTATCTTAGCACAGGAAAAACATCATTTTCAAGGTGGTGCTTCTAGTGTTTCCTTTCAACTTATAATAATTGGAATAACAAACATACTTTTCTTATTGTATGTCTCAGCTACCTTCAGGAAATTGAACTCTACTTAAATAGTTTAGATAATCCCTATTTCTGCTGTGGACAAAAAGCACCCAAACAAAACCAAAACCAAACCAACCCACCAAACCCCCAAAAATCCCAACTAAAATGACAAAAGTAAACCATTCCAGATAACTGAATAATGTTTCACTACTTTTTCAGTTTAAGCTTTGCTAAGTTTTGACTGGGGGGGGGGGGGGGGGGGAATGGGATGCTGGAGTTTTGGTTTTGTGTAGGTTTAGTTTTTTTTAAATAAATATAGCTGTTCTACACTAGAAGTGCATTAAAACAGCTGTCCCCTTAGACTGCCACTCCACTAATACACCTCTTATCTGTTTTCCTGCATCACAAATAAATGTTATGTCTGCAGTCCATCAGCAAAAGGAAACTAATCCTGTACCAAAATGCGCACAGATTTCTTTCATTCTATGCCATATCCAAAATACTTGTTTAGAAACCATGCAACATTCCTTTCAGTTAAATACTAGCTTTTAGCAGTTTTCAAAAAAATCACTCAAAATAAAGCAGCATTTAACAAATTAGGTATTATATATAGACTAAAAGCAGATTTCAAACTTACGGTGCAATAATGGCTCTAGCAGGTCTTTTTGTGGACTGTACTTGAGAAAGCCAGCCTTCTAGTTGTGCATTCAGCTGGGGTCCTATGAAGAGACAAGAAAATACTAAGGCCATAGAATAAATGAACACCTAAAATACTTCAAGAATTAACAAATAATATCCAAAAGTCCAACAGATTTAAAATCTTCTTAAATATCAAAGCCTGTGTTTAAATCTCAAAAAAAAAAAGTAAACCTGACATGTCTATAACACTAAGGGCTGCAGCAGGAAAGTTTCAACCTCCTAGCCCAGAAGTCCATTTATTGCGCATCCAAACATATATTTACTGGTTCTTGCTCTGTGGACTGATGCACATACCATTTCATCATTAGAAGGAATGGCTGCCAGTCTTAGAAGAGGCTAACAGATGGTTGATTCCTCTGGTAAATGTATTTGCAGAATTCAGAAGTAAAAAGTCAACACAACATATACCAGAGAGCCCAACACAGGAAGGTCATGCAACACAAAAACCTTACATACTGACATGATAGACAATGGCTATGGTATTTAGTCATTTGTTATTATCCAGCAAGAATAAGAGCAGAACACAAAGCATACTGTAACCTGAAAATCTGTAAATACACTTGAAGACACTAAAAGTGAGAAGACACCATGTTTATACTAATGCCTTACAACTTCTCATGAATCAACATATACTATAAGTACATAAACTTCTTGGCAACATTAAGTTTGGTAACTGGTCAATCCAATATTTAACTTTTTTTGTTTTTTTTTTTAATTAAATTCTGTATCTCAGCAAGTGGCAAATATTCCCAGTTCAATTAGCTGATAGGTAATAAAAATACCTTCTAGAAATAGAACAAAATAAAAAGCCTACCCAGAAAAAAAACAAAGCCCCACAACATTTTGGTTATTTTCCATCACAAAGAAAACATTTTGATGTAAAGATATTCCTAAAGAAGCAAGTCTGGCAAGTAGAGTGCAATATTCTTTATATTAAAAACACAAAACAAACTTTGAAGCTGCTATTGTGACAAGTAACATATCCTTAACAAAAACAGATGCACTGTTTCAGTTGGCCCTATGCTTTTGACAGATCTGTATGTCAGCAGAGTTTATCTGTCAAGTACTGTGCAGTAAGCAACTTCTCTTCCACCACACACACTGTAGATTTTTGTATCTTCCTGATGCAGGTGTAAAACCACCAACTGCCAGGGAAAATCAAACCCAAATTAAATACCTGAAACTATTTCACAGCTATGTTCCAAACAGGCCAGATGTCAAGCTGACAGGTCTCCCAAAAAGCTGACAAGAACTACCCCCAGAGCAAAGATGTCAACTTCTGAGAATCCAGTCAGGATTGAGAAGTCACTCACCAGTGATAGTCAAAATGCTTTCCCTAAAAAGCCTGAGGAGGGGGTTGTCAAAACCACTGGGTTTTATACAGAACTGCTTCATGAAACAAAAAAACCCCGACACTTCCTGTGGTTGCAAAGAACCTAACATAAAGAAGATGAACTAGGGCAATGCCATTTCCCTAAGGCTACCATAACCTTGAATGCCTTAGCTGCTGTCTACACCTCTAACAAGGGAGGCAAAAGAGTGACATTTATTAGCGACTGTCACTCCTGTAATACAGGAACTTCGTGAAATGATAAAATTGTCAAGAACAAACAAACCAAACAACCAAACACTAGTTTTGTTCTGCTGCTTCTGCTGCTTGGGGAAACAAGCAGCAGAGACCTGCAAATAGAGATAAGGAAAATGACATCCTGGAAAATGGAGGCTGTTGGGGGAACTAAGTAAAAATAAATATATCTCTATTTCCACCTTCTTTCTAAGATACTAGGAGACTAACTATTACAGTCTTACCATGTTTTAACAGTGAAGATATAAATTACTTACTAAAGGACAAAGTACTTTCTGAATTAAGATCTTTAGGAGAACACAATTATTTTTTTCCCACTCAACACCTCCTACCCAGTGACTTCAACAACTGAGTAGTCCTCAAAGATGATCCACAGGCTGCACCTGAGGCTAGAACTTCCCAAATAAAGCAAGATGGCCTTGAGACTCTCTTCCACAAGAAGGCACAGTGCTTGGCCTTCCACCATCCCTTCTTTAGCAAGGATTTTTGGTTAAGACAATTTGTCTTTAGTCAAGACAAACCAGGTAACCTGGTAAACAGTTTAAAGACAAAGTTCAGAATCTCTGGTAATTTCCTAAAATTCTGTACAATTGTTAAATCTGGCCCAAGCTTCTGATCTTACAGTGTAGTAGCAAAGTAAAATACCTAGGTTTGCTTAACCTCCTATTACAGACACACATCTCTGAGAAAGTAATGAAGATTTTCTTCCTAGAGGCAGTAAAATAACTTATCTGACCCAAGGGATGAAAACTCTGACAGTGTCTACTAAAGAACCAGGTAACACATCAGCTTTCACATTTTTTTCCCTTTAATGAAACTACAAGCTGCCTTTCTAAATCATTAACTCTGACCTAATGTGAATTTCCATTTCAACTGACACTTTTTTTACCCTATTTTAGTAAAACATGTAATCAAATCTCTCTCTGCAAAGGACTAACAGAGAGAATGGAGAGTACAACATAACCACCTGACAGAAGAAAAATCAATCAAAATCAAGACAGCATCCGCATGAACTGCAGCTTTCTATGCTTACAAATACTCTAAGGGATATTCTAAAGGCTGCAATTTTCTTTCTGCACAATTAACATCAACTTTTTGAAGTGTTCGGATAAATTTTTCTTCCAGTGTCTCAAATATGCCAATGCTTAAGGCTAAAGTCAAAATATTTGAATTGGATATACAAAACATAAATAAACCAACATTATTACAGCAGATATGCTCTGCCATATGGAATTGTATTATAGGAGATGAGTCACTTCTTCATGAAGAGCTCTATAAGTAAGTTTTGTTCGTATGTAAATTAAGTTAAACTGGAAAAAAGTCTTTGCAAATAGTCAACAGAGATAACTGCAGTAAATATCCATCTCCTAAGCTGACAAGCATGGGTGAGGAAGAGTGCTGCTGCCTATGCATCCCTCTGCCACAGTGGTGGGAAGCAGGAGAGGTCCTTGCTCCTCCAGCCACAAGTGGAAAGCCCTGCTTGAGATACCTGGCAGGATGAGCACAATGGGGATTTTAAGACTAACCCAAACAGAAGGACGGAGAGCCTTCTGGATGCAACAAGCAACACACTTCAGCATTTATATTGTAAGATCAGGCCTCTTATTGATTAAATGAAGATTAGGCAGGAAAACATCAGCTTCCCTGAAGCACATAATATGAAGATCTGCATTTCAAGCCAATGAAGTATGAATGTAGTCATGTAACTAAATATGCCAGCATTATCTGTGGATATTTCATGTCCTGTTTTGTTTCAGAAATTGGCAGAAGTTCTGCCAAATTAAAAATAATTGCAAGCATAAACCAAGCCTCCACCAGAAAAATTTATGGATATAGCTACAAGCAGCATTTATTCAAATATCTTGCCTAAAAGGATAAATTATTTTTACAACCAACATTATACCCTCACAAAGCACTGGAGTAAGTAAGAAGGAATCCTTCCACATTAAATGCATGCCAGTGTTACCAATGAATAATAACAGAAAGCCAGCTGGGAGTCACATGCTTAGGTCCATCACTTCAATTTATAGCTTTCATAGTCCAGGCTTTGTGAGTTAAGCCAAACCAGCGCATTCTTTCCACAGTCAAGCTCACCTAGTCACATGAGGCTGAAGTGCTTCTCTGATAAATGTCAACACAATATAATGGGAGCTTGCTCTCATCCCAACAGCCACCATTACTAGTGCAAAACCCACCTCTTCAGACTGGTAGGGAAGACTGCTTACTCTGAATCCTCAGTCTTGGCAAGTCCTTTTTTTACTGGTAGAACATAAGCCTCAAGCAAAATTCAGAGGCAGCACCAAGAAAAACTGCTCAGGTCACCCTTGGTTGCATGTGTATAGCACTTTCAGTAATACAAGTAATGCTGGAGCACAATGACAGCAACACTGCAGTCTGCAGATTTTACACTTCTACTTGACAGCTTCTACGTGTCTAATCGTGCCTCCTACCCTACAAGAGTCAACATTCCCCCCCCCCCCCCCCCCCCCCCCCCGAGTCTGTTACTCCTTCTAACTACCTTTACCTATTGATGAAAGAGTCCACATCTCAAAACCACTTCTGAAAATATTACCAGGTATGTATTAAGTAGTAAGTAAATCTTTATTCTTGTAAGGTGTTAGAAAAAAAATCAAGGTAAGTAATAGTGAAACTTTGGTGGCCTTAGTTTAATAACTGGAACTAAGGAAACTCCTCTCTCCACAACTTCAAAGGTGAATCCAAAACATTTAATTCAGTCATGAGGCAAATTCCAATCTGAAACATGACAGTGGACTAACTGATTTCTCAGTTAAAACTGCAGAAAGCATATGGATTGTTTTAATGAACACAGATCCACTTGAAAAAAAAAAAGAAAAAATAAAAATCTGTTTCTCACTGCACAAAAGCTAAATCCTCAAATCAAGAACACATTTTATCTATGCAAAGACTAGCAGTTGTCAGGAATAGAAGGTGATTTCCAACAACTCATGTTGATGCCACATTCTATACTGCTAGCATATTCTCTCTTCCAATACTGAATACAGACGAAATAGGACTGATGAAATTGGACTATAAGCAAGGCAGAAATTTACTTATATAATCTAAAAAAAAAGATATTTTGTATAAGATACAAATAAAGATTACACCAATGCTACATAAACTCCAATTATATGCATTGTAAGACAAACATAAAACAGCAGGTAATGCTTGAATTGGGGAAAATAAAACTGAAGCCACAATAGAAATGTTGAAATCTGCTTTCTCACTTGCTTGTCACTGTTTTCCAGTATTCCACTAGCTTTTTGATTTCCTTTATTGAAAGTTCTTAAGAAATAATCAAACTGTAATGCCACTCATTAAGAATATCAACAAACATGCACCTACCTAACTCTCCAAAATACCTTAGCAGTTAACTCATTCAGAGATCCAAACAAATAACCTTCTGTTTTATTGCTC